TGTGGGGTGTGGCTGTGTACGGCAGTGAAGCATCGGTGTTGAACACTGATGTCATGCTGTCGATCATGATGATGATGATTAGTCACTTCGTGACACCGATGCTTCACTGCCGTACTGTAGCAGCTGGAACGTATGTACCCTTGCTACATAGCTTGTTGCTGATAAACTGACTGATTCACGGTACCTACGTTCAGCTGTTCAGCCGTAGTACCCTTTCGGTGCCTAACTGCCATGCCACCAGAAGGAAGCATGAGGGCCAGGATACTACCAGGTTGCCCAAGCCTAGATAGGGGAAGGAGTCAGTCAGAGGTCGGGTTCGAACCACGAACCTTCTGGTACCTACGGACAGTGCTGAACGATTGCTTCTACACACTGACTGCAAACTTTTTAATTACTGCTTTTTTCCGAAGTCGTCCGGTCGTGTGGTGACCTCTAATGTACACAAATTCACCACATCGTGATCAGTTGCCGATGGCGCTTGTCACGAATTGACTGTCGCTTGCCTTGCAAAAATTGTATGGATTCTGGCCATGCACTCGTCTGGAGTCGCTTCCCTTTTTTCCAGGACCGCCTAAACGGCGGACAAGTTGCTTTTCGGCCGAGAGGCTGGCAGATTCCGATGTTGGAAGAATTTATTAAAATCCTCTTCTAGACCCTTTTCCAACTGCTATATCGTCGCATTAGAACGAGGGCTCCATATCTTTACACACTATCAGTAGTTATACCTCTAACACGATGCTCCTAGGTCCACTTAAGCACTGGATATCAGACTGATTGAACCCCGGAGAAATATCACCGCCGGTTCTGAATAAATTTAACGCCAAGTGAAAGTGAGCGTGCGCGCCGACCATGAGGCCTGGTGGACACGAAAGGCCAAGGAAAACGAAGAAGTATAAATAACCGGAAATGTTAGAAAATTGGTTCAGTTGATCCGTGAAACAGGCTCCGAAAACTGGCGGTTAGTGAAACCAATAAGGCCAAGTGATGCAGTTATCGCGGATGAAGAGGGACGCCTCGATCACCGGACCGAGCACTTTGAACGTTTCTCGTGGCCACCTGCTGTCACTAATGTGAATCTTGGTATTTTATGACTGCATATGTTCTCTCAAATGCCTCCGAGCTTCTGGATCGGATGACTTCCCAACCACAATGTTCAACGATGAGGGTGAAGTCTTCAGTTAGCGCTTGTCTGATCAGTTGACACCCATTTGGAGAAAGGTGACTCTCCCAGACAATGTGAGGATGGGTAGCACTACCCATTTACAAAAAGGGGCGCCTAATGGGTGCGGTAATCACAAGATGGTCAGCTTTCCTCCATTTGTAATGAGATTGTGGTCGCCACTTTTCCTTCGCCGCCTTTTGGTCGTCCGTGAAGCAGTTCCTCAAGATCAGCAAGCTGGATTCCGGTCGTTCTGTTGGCCAAATCTTCATACTTCGTTAGGTGAGAGGACAATGTCATACGTATAAGTGATCCACAATTTTACTATTCCTGGATTCCCAAACTGTGTTTGACTCAGTTGACCAGTCTGTTCTCCTTAACACTTGCCCGGCAACAATGCACCGGAAGTTTGTGACTTGCGGGGTTGTTAGGGTAACTGGAGAGCTCTGCAAAACCTTCAGTACACAGTGTTCCCGACAAGGATGTCCACTCTCTCCATTCCTACTTGATTTCATGATCCTCGAGAAAGCGGAACGAACGCTGGGATACCTTCAAAACCGTGGTGTGCAAATGGCCTCTGATGATCTGGGAAGTACAGGCGACGTAATTCTCGAAGAGAAGGCGCCTTTTGGCATACGCTTTATGCAAAGAAGTCGGGTCCGAACCACAGACTTACCGGTCATTAACTTCGTGCTTTGGCCACTGAGTCATCTCGTTCCCAAGACGTCGGGTGAACAGAGGCACATAGACGACTATCAACGGGTATTCAGTGGGTGTCATACTTTGCACCCACAAAGTGTATGCTCATACGCCTGCATATGCAGTCACTGAACACATCACTTAGAACTGAAGGAGAGGTATTCTAGTTTGTTGGATGTTTTATTTATTGAATTTGTCTGAGCTCCGATTGTATTGTAACAGATGAGGCCAATTCATGAATCTCTAAGACTCAGGTCGAGTTTTCTGATTTGAGACACCTGAGGTGGCTTATCCCCGAATCTCAAGGGACATGTGCCCAGGCTATATCACGGGCTGTTTTCGTGGCTAGCCACTTTGAGCAGCCGAACTAAGACATCTTCAGGTCTTCGGCGACCGTTGTCTCAGTTATTATAGGCTGGTGTCGCCGAATCCGCAGATGGACAGCTAGAAAATAAGTTTTAGGTTGTGCGACTGTGACTTCAGTCGAGGAATATGCCCAACATAAAAGCTGTGGTGGTTTGCTCATGTATTATGCATGCCGAACCATCGTTTGCCCAAGAGAGTGCTGCTTTCCGTGCCTAATTCTTGAAGGTGGCCTTGACCTGGCCGATAGGAACAAAATTGATTTTGGGGAATCTGATTATTCCATTGAGGAACTGTCTTCCAGGATGAAATCCAAGCATTCCATCCCTGAGCGTTTGGAGACGCTACAGGACGTGGCTGCTAATGGACGTCAACGGTGTTGTTGGTTTTTTTATATCTAGATTGCCTAAATGAGTATCTGAGGGTGTAGGTACCTCAGAATAATCTTGGCAGGCTAGTTCTAAGTGCCTCCCATGTTCACTTTTGTTCTCCACGAAAAGGGTTTCGCGTACACTATGGTTGTACATCGTCGAAGAATCAATTTTGAACACTGACAGTTCGTCGGCGATAGTGATGATGAAAACGGTGATGGTGAGATCCAGAGCCGTGTGCGTGTTCGGAAACGCCACTGGCGGAATTTTCTGCGTCATGTTTTGCCTTTGTCTCGTCCCAGTTGTGGCCATTGTCATCCGAAGGGGCAGTTGTAATGCACTGCATACTAGGCATTGATATGTGTCCCTAGCTTGTAACCCAACGTTTTTCTGCAGCTAGTTTGTGGAGTTTGTAGAGTTCACCGGGTAAGTTTAATAGAGATGTGCGGCGAACGAGAGCGCGATTTCAATCGACTTGTGTATTCCAGAGCAATCAGCAGTCATGGATGGGAACGTGCCTCAGGTAGCTGTTGGCGATTTGGTCGGTCTGACTCCAAGGTTACTCCGCCGTTTTAGGTGACGCCAGGCAACGCAACGACACCCACTGCATCTGACGCCAGCGCTGCTGAAAAGCAGCTGGATGTCCGTTGTGAGACTTTCACCATCATCATTGCGTTTTTCGCTCAGGGTAAACATACCACCAGGGCGTTCTTGTAATGAACTGAGGCGTCTGCAGCAAGCTATCATGACTATATCCCAGCTTTTCGTATTGAGAACTGACAGTCAAATGATCCAACAACATCTGTTTGAATGGTGTGAAGGAATTTGGGATGGACATCGGTGGACAAAGAAGTGTAAAAAGATAAAAAGATAAAGCGTTCAGCTGTAGCACCCTTCCGGTGCCTAGCTGCCATGCCACCCGAAGGGAGCACGAGGGCTGGGATACTGCCAGGTTGCCCAAGCCTAGACAGGGGAAGTCGAGTGGCGGAGGTCGGATTCGAGCCGCGGACCTTCAGGTTAGTAATCCGCGCTCTAACCACTTCGGCCATCTCGCCCCCGACAAAGAAGCGTGCGGGCAAATGATACTTCCCGGTTGCTCAGGTGGAGGAAGAGGGCTCAGTTGAAGTACCCCACCTTGAGCCTTTGGCTCGAGCGTCTAACCCACAGAGCGGCGAGGGGTGTAGGGTTTTGTTTAATGTCCATTCCATCATCCTCGACAGCATGAGATCACTGTTCAACACCGATGCTTCACTGCCCTAGGGTCCCTTCCCCTAGTTTTAACTCAATAGTCTGACCCAAGAGATAGCAGGCAGTAGAATTTCCTTTGGAGACCCTGCATAGACCCAACAGTCTAACCTTCTAGGCCGCTGACGGCTGGCCTAACCCTGGGGCGCAAGGAGTAAACTATTACAGACTCCTAATGTAACTGTTTACGGCAGGTGCCTTTTGAGCAGCACCTGACTCTGGTTTCAAAAGTACTGAATAATCCGCCGGCGGTCCCGGTCAACCGCTGGGCGATTGGAGTGTGTGATTTTTAGGGCCGGCCTTCGGGAGAAGACAGCATCGCTGCCTCCATAAATATGAGCATGGTCGTCGTCTGCGGACAACACCTTACTGCCTTCATACTGTTATTGCAGACGACAGCACGAATTTACGGACTCGTAGTACGGAGTCTTCGTTTTGGACTAGGGGATGGTCAGTTCAGCGAATCTCATACGAAGAGCGTTCAATATTTCCATCGGAGCGAACCACCGGATCATCTACAGTACCCACAATAGCAGTCTGTCGGCCCACTTGCCTGAGTTCTTATGTTAAAGGCCGCAATAATAATAGGAGAACGGGACTTGAATAGCGGAAGCTGAGCAGCAGATGTGAGTGGTGGCATGCACCACGTGTGCCTGAGTGACGAGCCCACATTTGGGATCTACATAAGAGTAGTTGTTAAGAAGGACGGGCCTGAGGTTAGGAGATAATGATAAAGAAAGCTGAAAGGCGTCAGCATTTGATGTTATCGCTTATCCACCCTGATCTACGCAGCGAATAGAGCGGTCAGGCTCAGACCACTACGCAACGACCGATGTGACCTGAAGTCACTCTTACCTGTAAAGTTCATGTTTGCGTGGGGACCGATGTAGTGCCAGGACATCCAAGCTCCACAGGATGACTAGGTTCATCAACCAAACCGTTTGATTTAGAGGCCGGTGATCGGAAATGTAGCCATGGAAGCTGTCGTAACCCTCCGACGCGGACATGGAGGTTGATGTTTTTTATTTAATTGAGATTTTGTCCTGTGTTTGAAGCCAATGTATGCTGCGAAGCCGAGAAGAGCTGCACAACTGCTTCATTCTTATTGAGAATCATCAGTAGTGCGAAACACCAGTAGAGATTTTCGGACTGCCGACCTTCCTGTCACAGCCTTTCTGTCACGAACGTCTGGTCAGCACAGATTAGACAGGACATAGCACCGCTCATCCTTTAGTCACGGGAACCATGTCACGTGGTCACCTATTGACTAGCTGCTAGACGACTGTTCAGATGTCTTTTAACTTAACTTCTCGAGGGCCTTCTTCAGATTGCAGCACTACATTCATCTGCCTTAACTAGCTCCCTACACTGTCAACGGCTGCTCAACTGGAACATGTCACAACCTTTGTCAGCCCTCTGTGCAGTGTTCCAAGGCTCATTCTTCATCAACGACCTGCTAATATCAGTTCAGATACCACCTATCTGTGGACGCTCCAAGCTCTGAAGCGTCGTTCGCCCTCCGGAATTTCAGAAGGTCCTTTGACAGCCTACGGCTGGCCACAAGCGAGTGTGTCAGATTCTGCCTTTACGCCATTCTAGCCTTTGAGTGTATAATTTGGGCCCGCATAACTTACATGCGGCAGAGATGGGCGTATGAGCTATTGTCCAGCAGGGTTTGGGGAAGTGCTGCACAGCCTGGTATCCGTTTCATACCTGTAAGGTGTAAAGTGCTACTACAAGATTGGGTGGAATGAAGTGCAGTTCTCATGCTTGCAAGTGAACCGATCGATGTGGTAGACAAGTTCGTCTACCTGGGCAGCGGTGTAAGTCCCGGAGGACCGGCGAAAAACGAAGTCACTCCGAATTGAAAAGACCAGGTCTCCGTTGGTCAAACTCCGACACTTTTGGCGGCGACGTTCAGAAGGGTAGAAAAAGTCAACGTTTATGGTCTAACCATCAATGACATGGCTCTCCCTTTACCCACATCATCTCCGGTGAATTAAGTCGTAGTGGCTGAACTCAATGTAACTTTGGTCATTGTAGAGAGAAATACACCACTAGTAAGTACTGGCACTCATTTGTTTTTATCGTTCAGCTGTAACACCCCTGCCCAGCTACCATACACCCGAAGGAAGCACGAGGGCTGGAATACTACCACGTCGCCCAAACCTAGATAGGAGAAGCCGAGATGCATATGTCCGGTTCGAACCACGGAGCTTCTGGTCAGTAAATTTGTACTCTAACCACTGAGCCATCTCGCCCTCTACTGGCACTCGACTATCTAAGTAACCTTGGTACATAATTTGGAGCCGTTTGAATTGAAAACGTATTGGGCTTTATTATTGGCACCCCTATAAAGTTTCTTCAAGGCCCCTTTGTTTTATTATTATTATTATTATTAATGTTACTATTAGACGGACTCGGGTACGCAGATGATGGGCGTGAAATTTTCGATGATAACGACGAGGATGAGGCGGTAGATGACCGTGGTCGGCGGCCAAAACGCAGTAACAAGACCCAATCTCACTCGAAGAAGACGCGCTTGAATCCGGATATCAGGGCGACGGAATCAGCACCACTGCGGCCAGTTGTGGGGCGGGATATTCGTAGTCTGTTTGCTGCCTCTTCTGCTCAGAACTCATCCACGAAAAAGCGTAAGGTGAGTTCAATTACCGCGGGCATATAATCTCAGCATGCCTGCATCTAACTCATTTTTTCTTCAATATAACCCCATCTGCCTTCAAAGTTTGTATCCACGAGCCCCAGAAACCTTGTTTGGTTCAGTCTAATGGGGTTCAATGGTACCTTGCCAAGCAGCATATTCTACCAACGGTGGGTCTCATCAGATCTCAGTCAAAATGGTCCGTCCGTTCTTCCGAACTCGTACCATTTTGTATTCAACGAAACCCACGCATTTGTATACCAGTTTGGTTCTGACGGGAGACTCACCTGGAACCCAGCTGAACCTCTCGTTACCTTATGATTTTTTTAAGCAACTGAATCTGCTAGTAATCTCAGCCTGTCCAGCTGTTTATTTTGAACCACTTTTGTCTTCTCAGTCAGATTTCTATCAGATGTATCTTTTACCTGGCTATGTTTTCGAGGCGCGAATTGGATAATCTTTCCATCCTCATCCAATCTGCATCAACAGCACACTAGTTATTCGGAATGAAACGATGGATCGTCATGCTGGGCCTACCATTTCCGCGGAATGCCGCTATCTGTTTACGTTGGTGGCACATAGTAGCCTATCCTCAAACGTCACTATTGCTCACAACACTTTGCTGTTCATGTTCTTTGTGGAGAATCATCGTCGTCAACAGCAGGACATTGTGGAAAACAGTCCTACGTCGTTACTGACACATGCTCCGCAAGGCGTATGTCACTATAAATGCCGTGCTTGCGCTCACAGCCGCACCGGACTCGGTTGGATAGAGTACGAATATGTGTGGTGGGGGCTGGAAGGATGCGAGCTACTTTAAAGGTACATGAACGATGAGTCGCCAAAGCTTCAGCTTTGCTGAGCGGAGAAATGATATGGAAAACTGGGTTTGTCAAGGTGTGACTTTTGTCAGTCCAAAGGCTCTATACTCTTCACGGTTCGCTTTCCTGGCCACCTATTATGAGGTCTTGATGGTATTAGGCTGTCAATACCATTTAAAACTACCTGCTTCGGTATCACCTGCCTCAAGAGGGAGCCAGTGACAGCTTCTTAGCTCTTGTAGTGTTGTTCCGGTAACCACACCACATTGAATCTAGACTTAACCCCAATAGGAAGGTCTCGTGGCGCTTATAACCCAGAGTCGCGTTTTTCAGGTGGCTCGCAACAAACAGAGTTTCCTGCCTCACTGTTAAGCTTGTTGAAGTTTACTGGGACAGAGCAGAAAAATTGATGATAATTGTCCTGACTTGACAGAAAATCAGCAAAACACGTCACCAGGAACGGCAATCCGAATAGGTGAGCAGCCAGGACTGCCAATCCGCTGATAGGGTCAATTCCTCTAGCCAGTTTTTCACGTTTCTGTCTTAATTGGTTACAACGCTCGGGTTAGCAGTGTTCTTCCGGACGAATTTATCTCTGACGATGACGAGGGCGAGGACTTTCTTATCGTTATTCACAAGGAGTTTTTGACGTAGTACCTCTCGGATAAACTGTTCTTTGCTAGGAGTTCACATCCCTTTGTCGGCTTTTTTGGAGGCACCAACATAATAGTGTACTAGGTACGTGAGAAAACGACGAATTACCTAACAACTATTGCGGATACAAAGTCACACAACACAAAACAAAGTATTTGGAAATGATACGAGTGGTATGGCTGAAGAGAACTAAAGCAGGACTAGGTACTACTGATCGACCGCGTTTCCTACCAATCAAGGTACCAGTCCCACCAAGTTTGGAACCTTGATTGTTCGGCTGACTGGCATACGAGGTGAAAGAATCCTCGCAATTTTGGATTACACCCAACTGCGAATACATCAGTAATGGTATGTTAGTGGGTATGAGATTGAAATTTTGAGGCTGCTCGGTTGTGTCGTAAAAGTAACGATTTGGTTGATGCTCCTGATTTCGACCTCCACTAAGAACCACATGGAACAGCTTCCACGGATAGTCCCCTTTGGAATCGACCACAATAAGAGAACCTTTTTTGGTCAAGGTTTCGTTCTGTAAGTGAAGCCACTTTATGCTGAAGAGCTGAAGAACTATTTTCATGGAGTTTCGAACCCACGATCTCCTGAAGGATGAGCGGCGCTATATCCTCTCATTGATAGCTGATCATAGTGCTGATCAGCTCCTCGTGGCCGTACGATTAATCGTACAGACTACTGGCCAGGAAGCCGCGGATTGGAATCTCCCTTGAGTTTCGTGAGATGCACACTGCTGATGATTCCCAGTTGGGATGGAACTACTATACGTTTCTTCTCAGCTTTTCAGCACACACTGGCTCCACTCACAGGCATAATCTCAGTTGAAAGATCCAAAATCTCATACTTACAGCTTATCCTCATTACCTAATCCCACATTCCGTCCCATTCCCGCCGGTACTTCGAATACCGACGCCCAACATGCTGATCCTACATGGTGCAATTTAGGCATGGGGGCGAGGTGGCCAAAGTGATTGGAGTGCGAATTTACTGACCGGAAGGTCCGTGGTTCGAACCCGACCTCTGCCTCTCGAATTCCCCTGTCTAGAATTGGGCAGTCTGGTAGTATCCCAGCCCTCGTGCTTCTCTCGGGTGGCATGGCGGCTAGGCACCGAAAGGGCTGAACGAATATGAATAATGATAAATAATCCAGGCAAAGGCTGTGCATCATGTCTTATTTGACAGAGGAGATAGGGCGATACATACGAGTGCATTGTAGCCACGCTGCCGCATCTTGTTTGACCAGTGGTGCAGCTAGTTACTTCAAGGTCACCGGCGTGTAAGTAACTGCCCGTATTGTGTATTGACTACTGAACTCATAATGACTTCTTAAAGACGGTTTAGTAGCAGTGGGGAAATTTCAGCATTCCTCCACGCAACTCCGCGTTGGTATTCTCCATGGTGGGCCTGCAATGTCAAATTCGGATACATTCCACTCTAATGGGAGGTCAATAGGTTGGGCTCGAACCACGGACCTTACGATCACTAACTTCGCACCTTAACCATTGAGCCATCTTAAGCTGTTTTTCGACGGATACTTCGGCCCATAATTTCGGTCACAATAGGGTAAGGGGAATTAATTGCGATTAGGTTGCCTGTACCGTAGTTTTATCGATTCACACTCAGCAGTTAATCAGTCCTTTGCTTTGGTTCCCTTCTTTGGTACGAGCTCTCGGCGTCTCTCAAGATTTCGTGGAAAAGCCACGCACGTTAGAGACGTTTCAGTTTAGTGAATTATTTGGAGACTGTACTCTACTCGTCCGCTTTGTTTGGACGTTTGCTTACAGGAACCCATAGAAGCAACTGTCGATCCCAACCTGGATGACCTGTTGGCTGAATTGGAGTGTAACGACTCCGTACCGGGGAAAAGTGATGTTGTACCTCCACTTTCTCGTCCTACCAGACCTCATAAAGTTAAATCACGGAGGACCGTCCCCAGTCAACCTTTCCAGAGCTCTGAAGAGGATCAGCTCGCAGAGGAGTTGGAGAATTCCGATGTGATTGATGTGGGCAGTCATCGCGAGCCGATGACCAAGAAGCATAGTACTCGCACTCCTGTTGTAGAAGCAAAACAAAAGAAACCCGTATCTGATGTCATACCCCTGCCAAAACCGCGCGTGACAAATCCGTTTTCGACTGAGAAACAACCGAAACCGAGAGCTGCTCCAGCGACTACTGAAACGGTCACGGATGATACTGCTGGTATGTTTGAGTCTTTAGAACCCATATACTACCAAAACTTGATATCCCATTACTCTCCAAAACTCTGAGTGTCCCTAGTCCAATTATCGGTGACCTGGTTGCGTTCTCTAGTTATTGAGCTATTCTCCAGACTTGGCGATTGATTTGGTCTGTTGCCTGGACCTTTACCTAGACATCTTCGACAGCAGTTGGATGGTTAGCATCTGAATCAGATTTACGCCAGTGGTCAAACCACAAGCGTACAGTTAGACGGGCTGTTAGGAACCAGATGTGGTTCCGCCTGTCGAACAGACAGAAGCATGTTGCAATTCATCAGCTAGCCTAAGCATGTTGACATAACTACGAGCACTGGCATCAGTTACATGTTTATCATGAAGTCGCCGGTGTGGATTCCCTCTAGTTTGAACGAAGTGCTGCGTTTCGCGCACTACAACACTCTACTGATGTACCCGAGGATCAGCAACCGGCGCATTGTCAGGGGGCTAACGGATAGCTCGCCCGTATTATCCCACTAGTTGTACTATGTTGTCCTTAGAGTGACCTTGTTTGGAAGATGCCGATTAGAAAATGGAACGTATGTACTTCGGTTGTACTTTTAGCAGGTAGGCTGGTGAGTACACCGTGGACCGATTCTACGAAGACGTCTGCAGCGATACGCCGACAGTAAGTTTTGTCGCTTACCAGCAACATCTCTTGGAATCTAATGTAGGCGAGGCCACTCACCTCACTGCGCTTGCTGTAGTTGTATGCGTAGTTTAGTTGTGAGTACCGCGTCAATCCTACCCACACTTACTCTGGTTGGGTCAACCCTTTCCTCCACTTTGGTGTCCAGGTTCTACGGTCACTTTTACCTAATGACCCTGATCCTATAGGAGTTACTTCGCAACTTTCAAATTGTTTAGTCTCATACCTAATTCCAGTAGGTTACGCCTACCGTTGAACATTTTTCGTATACTGGTAGTGTACTCATAGCTTTTCCCCCACCCCCCGAGGATTTTCTGACAAATGGTGGAGTTGGCGTTCAGTGAATTGTTCATATTACCTTTTATACGACTTTATTCTCTCAGCCTCCCCGGAGCCGGATACTGTTATGACTGAGATGGAAGTTAGCGTCGCCGACTTTGACGATGATTTTGACGTTCCTGATGAATCATCCAAACCAAAACCGGAGCCCATATCCCAACCAACCTCGGACGAGTTGATAAAAGCCGTCAAACCTGACCAACCATCGATTAGTTGGCTTGCAGCAGAGAGTGAAGCAACTAAACTGATGGAAGATTCTGATTGGAACGATGAGCTCACGACTGCCTCGGTTACCGCAGACGATGGGCTGCATTTCTACTGGTTCGATGCATACGAGGACAGTCGCCATCAGCCAGGTTAGTTTATTTTGGTTGTAACCCCTTTTTTGATAGATACTCATAACATTTTAAAAGACCAAGAGGTATTGGCCAGTTCTGCGGAGCCGCGTTTATACTTGCATATCAAAAATCAGGCTTTCAGCAGCGTACCGAATACAACCATTGAGCAGCACCTGCTGTGACGTATGGTTTTCTGCGCGCAGTTCGGGGTGCTGCAGACAGCCTGATAAAAGCGATGTGGTCGATGTTATCGCCTTGCCAATCGACCTCTTGGTTGACTGGGTAATGCACCAAGGGATCAATGGGCAGATATTGGATAGTATAACGTATCGATAGACTGTGGATCACCGCAGTCCACGGCAAGTCCACAGTGGACTCTGTCAGTATAATTATAGCGGCGGACTAGGAATCTGCGTCCAGACTAGGGTCAGTTTGACAACCATATTCTCTCGTATACGACCAGTTGTTGTGATGGAGGTGGCCTGTTCATGAGTTCACGTATCGCCTTCCGAAGTTCTAAGCCAAAGACTAGATCATGACCGGTTTGAATGTTATCCTCTTCGTGTTTGTGCCCCTGAACTGCGTGCTATATCACCGAAAGAAGATCATTTGGAAGACGAAGGGTTGAACCTATATCCTTGCCATCAACCTTCTTATGCCTGCGAAAACTGACGGTTACTCGTTTCGGATACCCGTATGCTGGTGGTTTCTGGCCAGTGGTTGCGGTCCCAAGATCACGCGGAGAGTAACATAGACCAACGTTCTTGGATTCGCCCATCAGGCCCGCTTCCAACCGCCAAATACCAACGAAGTTTGAGCAGTCCATATCCCTACCAAGATATGTATTGTTGTCTTGAAGGTCAGTCGTGCTGTCGCTGTTTTCGTTTGGACTTTGCGATTCAGCAGCATTTCAACTTTATACATTCTGCGGGTTACACCACAAAAAAATAAAAAAAGATCGTTCAGCTGTGGTACCCTTTCGGTGCCTAGCTGCCGTGCCACACGAAGGAGGCACGAGAGCTGGGATACTGCCAGGTCGCCCAAGCCTAGATAAGGGAAGTAGAGAGGCAGAGGTCAGGTTCGAACCACGGACCTTCCGATCAGCAAATTTGCGCTCAAACCACTTGGCCCCCTGTTACACCACAAGGATGTCACAGGTGAACTGAACCGATTTTTCCCTCTCTAGCTGATCAGACTCAGTTTAGTTCATTTTGGTTTGCAAGCTGTGAAACGTGTTCCGCTGTATGCTGATTCGAGCCACATTAGTTTAGTTAATCGAGGGTAAGAAGTAACGGGGGACATCCATGCATTGGCAGTGGCCCACCGGTCGAAGTGCGATGCTACCGGGAGGTAGGAAGATGGTTCTAAGCCAATTCTGGCTTTTCACTTACCGTCTGTTTTCCCTCATAATATACTGGTGGTAATTGCTTGCAGAGTTGATTGACGTAGCTCGGTTTCACAGCCTTCCATTTGTTGTTGTTTAGTGAATCGATCAGTGTAGTAAAACGAGTTGGCGTGATATACTCGCATCAAACATGCCTCAATATTTTCCCATGACTATTTTGCGCTTACTTTCACTTCAGGTGTTGTCTACCTTTTCGGGAAGATCAAGGACTCACAGCGTCCAGGAAAATTCATCAGTTGTTGTCTTCGTGTGAAAGATTTGGAACGACGTATCTTTCTGCTCCCGAGACCGGAACTGGTGAGTACTGCGGTTCGATCCAACTGTTCATGAGATGCTGAGCTTGTTATTTTTTCCGCGTGTTTCCTAGGGACATTGACATACCTATCTTCTTGTTCTCTCTGTCGAAAGTAGACCTGATACGATACTTTCGGGCTACCTACTGAATTAGCCTGTTTTTCTGACCCTGTTGTACTTTGGTGGTGTCATGCAGGATGATGCAAACCCTTGGCCGGATCTCGCGAACCTTAGCCACGACAACTGGTGAGCGTAAGGAGCCTGAGCGCTTGATCCTTTGAGTGTGTAACCTCTACGCATCCGCCGGCCAGTTTGTGCAGCCGCTGAATTTGATTCGAGATGTAATTCTCGGTCTTACAAGCTTTTGATCAATCCACCTGATTAGTCATTGGTCCTCGCAGGCCACCTGAAGCAAACCGGGGGTTTGAAGTTCACGTTAAAGGTGAAAATGTGACCGTATCCTGAGGAGGTGAGCTCTGGCATCCTTCATCACTAGTGATCCGTCATCCTGTTTATGGGAGATCAATGTCGTAATTGTATTGCTAGAACGGCAGGTTTTTTGTTTCGTGACCAGTGAAAACAGGTAGTCTGTTGGAATGTTTGCCTTCTGAGAACCACAGAACTCAAGTAATCTCGGAAAGCAGCTTATCGGACGCAGCAAGCGTCGAAACGTCCGCACTACAGGTAACAATCAGAAGTTTTGATAGCTTTCACCGTAGAAGAGAGGCCAATTTGGACTGGGGGCGAGAATCACTGCACAGCTGTGCGCTTCCTAGGGCTTTCAGCATAGGTTGGTCTCACCTGTAAGATGGGGCATATCATAGTTTCAAAATCTTAAGCTACTACCAAACCATAAGTAGTCTGCTCAAAAAGGAAAACATCTCATCGGTTGCTTGGGTCTTCCGCGCTCGAAGTCGTCACTCGAGGAGTCCGCCACCACGTGACCACGTGATGTGTTTTGTCTGGTTGAGGAATGATTGATGCTATATCCCACCTGAATACGAGTTACTCAAACTGCTGTTCGGTCGTTCGTGGCCGAACGGTGTAGTCTTGAAGCACTAGCAATGAGGTGCATTCTGTCTGCTCAGCGCAGAGTTACGATGTGTTTTGTCTGGTTGAGGAATGATTGGTGCTATATCCCACCTGAGTACGAGTTACTCAAACTGCTGTTCGGCCGTTCGTGGCCGAACGGTGTAGTCTTCAAGCACTAGCAATGAGGTGCACTCTGTCTGCTCAGCACAGAGTTACCAATCTCCTCGTACTGCGAGAATTATTTCTGGAATGCAGTTAACTGATATGAGTTCAGGTGATCATCAAACCGAGTGAACTAGCCGCCTGTGTGCATGAAAAATCGTCTAACTAGATGTGAAAGAGTGCGCGTAAACAAGTAAAATGCCGGGGACAATCGATACGAGAAGGTCGTGTCATAAATAAGGTAAAAGTGGAAAAATGGAAACGTTACACCTTGTCATTGTTAAGTCAAAACCTGTGGTCTGTGAGCTAGTCTAAGTCCTCTGACTCTCATGTGCTTCGAATTTACCATCGCCCAGTCACATGTAGTCAAAGCGTGCTCACGTCAGTGGTTGATCCACTGGGTCGTTGTTCAACCAGCCTAATGTTTGGCACTCTTAGGCGTCCGCCTCTAATACCGATGAGCCACTAGTGAGTCAGTCTCTTTTTATCGCCCCGAATCGGACAGACATTCCTTGTTAACTCCACCATTAGCGGGGAGGTATTTTCCAAAACTACCGGACTTCAAAAAGGAGACGGTTCTCTTTATGTACCCGATTCACCATTCCAGGATAAGGTACGCTACAGCACCACCCCCAAGAAAGGTTATCAAGCGGAAAAGGATAGTTGGTCTTTTCCGAGTGGGGCAGGGTAAAAGGTCGCAGTTCCAGTTGTAGCCGACGGGCAGCGCTGCTGTGGACTTTCCAAAAGATTGGACAATTTTTGGAGGGATCGCTTTTTGAATACTTACTGTATTTGTATTGTCGGAAGCGAGTTCTAAAATTTTTTGTTTCGCCACTCTCATTTGCTTACTCTTGCACCTGGCTGCTGGGCGTATCATCCGCCGTACCGTGTTGTACTCATGACAATTGCATATGAAAAGCAAGCCCCATGTAAGCGGCAGTTTTCTGTGTGGCTGAATCTGGCTTTGTGTTTTTTTGCCAGACTGACGGGGCCGAATCGGGGTCCTTCATGAAAGAGGTTTACACAGAATTTCGGCAAGTTAGTGCAGAGCACAAGGTTGGAAAGTTCCGGTGTAAAGTAAGTCCTGCTTCTTTCCCGTCCATTGTTGTGCTGGCTCATCGGAAAATGTTGTTAATATATCTTTGCTATTCACCACTGTTTGCTCTAACCATGAGCTTCGTTCGCAACATTGTTTCTCCACTGCCTCAGCCTTAGTGGAAATTATGACTTTGTCGAAAGTCCCACCGATGGTACGATAACATCCCTTACGACCAGTGATTTCCTCGCATGAATGTATGAATGAGCTCCAAGTATGCTCAGGAACAACAACCAATAGGAGTGCCCGAGCATTGCTAGTTTACCTTGGATAGTAATGGAATGAAAGAAATCAACTTGGATAATCGGCCTTTCGCTGACCTTGGGCAAGATGGTTCGAACTCCCATAGTTATGTTGCAAGAGTGCGTGATTCCATTTGAACAATGCATCCACCGTAGCCGGCTGCTGACGATGAGATGTCGCCCTTTGCGAAATACACTCACATACCAATTTGGTTTTCATGGGAGACCCGACTGAATCCCGGCTGAACCTTTCGTTTATGAAGTTCTTCAACTAAAAGTGCTGCACTAGGCCGCCTCATGAATCTGATGAACCCCAAAAAGGGTGTGGAGTGTCGAAGAATTTCCAGCAACCTTGTGAGTAGTGTGTTACGTCTGTTTTGCCCTTGTTTAGTGTAGCAACAGCCGAGCACAATTACTTTCGGTCCCGGGCTTTCGCATCGCACAACAGAACGGAGTCTATACGGTAGTTCCTTCAGAGGGAGAGTACTACCTGCAACGGGGTTTTCGGCTCCTCCTTGAGCGGCCTTCTCGAGGAATGGTTTTTGACTAAATTCTGGCTGATGGAGAGGTCACTCCCCACTAGAATGGCCTCTGCTGCATAGTACACAAAATTGTCATCACCTGATTGTGCAGACCAGACCAACATTTCCATACAATCGGACCACCAGCGTAGCCTGGCTAGCGAATTAGTTAGAACGACACTGCAAACACCTCAGAATCTTTGATGATTTGAATATGTGGCGGATCGACTGCTTCCTTTTGCGACTTTATTGAAAACTTCTGTGTCCTTGTTCCCTGGAGCTAACCGGCTCAATGTACGGGGACACTGTCATCCCTCTCTTCATTTCGTGTTATCCATCCGTCCGCGGTTCGAATCCGACCTCCGCCACTCGACTTCCCCTGTCTAGGCTTGGGCAACCTGGCAGTATCCCAGCCCTCCTTCGGGTGGCATGGCAGTTAGGCACCGGAAGGGTGCTACAGCTGAACGCTTTCTTATCCATCTAATTACCGAGATATCGCGATAAATGTATATTCGTAATGTACTACTCATAAGGTTACTGAAAATTCGTCGCCCTTCTTGGGGCTCATCAGGCAGGCGAAGTCCCCGGATCCAAATTGCACGAAATTGGCGAAATGCACTCATTTGTAAACTAATTTGGTTTTGCAAGAGCGATTGACTTGGAACTCAGATGAATCTCTCGTTTATGATGTTTCAGCTGGGTTTCAGATGAATCTCCCACAAAACCAAACTTGTTTTCGAATAAGTGTGTTTCGCTTACTTCGTGCAATTTGGTTTCAAGTAGAACGTAAGGTTGATGGAAACTCGGGGACTGTGTCCACCTGACGAGCCCCAAGAAGGACGAAACCGGTTGTGGGCTGTCGACGAATTTTCAGCAACCTTATGAGTAGTGCATTACGAATATAGATGTCAGTGTTGTTCTCGTCAACTGTCTTGATCAACACTGTCTAACCGAGGTGTAAACTTTCACTAAGCTTATGATGGGATACTAACAGTTGCCTCTTTTACTTCTACAACAGTATTCTGCGTTTTCATTACTCCCTCAATGTTCAAGACCAGACAGTGGTACTAAACATGTTTAGTCGCAATAGCTCGCTTGTCAGATGCATATATGACATTTATCTTGGATATGGTGTTTGGTTTTGCCTACCCTGTTTATGCCATCTGTACGTTGGTTTTGCCGCAGCTGTCCACAAAACGCTACGCATTTGACTTGGCTGACGTGCCTGTTGAATCGGAATACCTGGAGGTGCGGTATTCGGCTTCCTGCCCGGCTCTACCAGCGGATCTTCAGGGTAAAACGTTTTCTCACATTTTCGGGACCAATACGTCGTTGTAAGTCTGAGTTCATTTGGATGGATTTTCGGGACCAATACGTCGTTGTAAGTCATTTGGATGACCTGCTCGCATGGTATGCAACAATCTGTTGCCTTCATGAGAGTGGTTGTGGCGTAGATTTGAGCCGGATACAGTGTGTGCAAAATTTTTATGGGCTCTTGTAGATTGATTCTGTTCGTATCCAAGTGGATGATCTGTCTTGCTAATCCCGTGCATATTTTTTCCATGAATTTCCCCTTGGCCTGAAAACCAGTCATTTGCTTACGTAACCTTCGCTGTCCGCCATGGGCATGGGGCAGATTGTTGTCAATCTCAAGTCCCCCCCCCCAAGCACAACGGTCGGTGACAAGATTCTACCCCATATCAATTTAGTGTTGGCTCAACTGGCTTGGGTCGTAGATAGTCGACAAACTCAGGCACGCAGCTCCTGGCTTAACACTGTCGATCCAAGTTTTCAGCTGGCTGCTTCGGCGGAAACATTGTTTAGGAACACAATGAGCTGCTCTCAGCTGTCATCCGAGACATTCGCATTCAGGACACATGATTGGTCTATTCTGTCCAGTCTCCACGTGGTGATGTCCGTTGAAGGCTTGTCGCTTTATCTAATCAACTGCAAAGCAGAACGGTATAGAAGGCAGTGGACAATCCTGCCGAACCTTGGACAAGTCGAGGATGAATGAATTTTCACCTTACGTACGGCCGTGTGTCTTCTTTGTCGCATAATAAGACCTCAACAGCCGGTATAGCTTCGCAGAGTCTCATTCGGTTCTGTTGCACAGTGGTTGTTTTAGAATACGGTACGTTTCGAAGGCAAGATTAGTACACCCTTTCCCCGGATAAACACCTGCATGGTTTGATCCGATGTGTGGTCATATCACCCTGTTTTCGCACATTTCAAAAGTATACGTCAACATCCGATCTACTCATGAGTTACAGTAATGCGGTATCACCTCATTGTTGGGTGTTTTACTCACACACCGCAGCAATAGGCCATTATCTATCCAATTTTTTAGTACCGTTCCACTGGAAGAAAACGAAATTTAGTCACTCACGGCTAAATACTACTCACAAGGTTGCTGAAAACTGACTTTATGAGTAGTGTTTCCCGTCGGAAAAATACTGCGATACTTCGAATATCATACCAGCTGAGTCAACCTTTGTTAAGCGCATTTAGTTGAAGTGGGTCATCATAAATTAGAGGTTCAGCTGGGATTCACCTGAGTCTCCTGTAAAAACCAACTTAGTGTGCAGGTGACCTCAAGGTTGTACGAAATATGTTGTACTGAATAGTAGCAGTTGACGCTTCGTACTACTACGTCATCCTGGTCGAATTATAAAGATTATAGCCGAAGCTACCAGACAACATTACATCTACTGTTTCAGAGAGGCATTTGTTTCTTAGCCTCCCTTCCTTAACAAGTCGGCCAAACTAGGAATCACATTCATCAACACCCCAAAGACAAATTTCCTCATGTGACCACAAACTCGTGCATCTTCATTCTGGATATAGTGATCAGACGATGCGACAACTGGCAATGAGGGTTAGAGAACCTACGCCAGTGTGGTAGCCAGAATAAGAGGGGTAGAAACGCCGAGTGTCTCATTTGTGCCTGGTTGATTTCCCCAAGTGACTGCGTCAAACCAGAATCCGTCTTCCGAATTGTGTGTCGGGCGTCCAAACGCCTATTCGTGGATATCGAATGAAGTAGGTTAAGCACGATTGAAGTCCTTGTCATTCGTCTTTTCAGTCATGACCTGCAGGGGCGAGATGGCCCAGTGGTTAGAGGCGCAAATCTACTGACCGAAAGGTTCGTGGTTCGTATCCGACCTCTGCCTGTCGACTTCTCCTGCCTAGGATTGGGCAACCTGGCAGTATCCAAGCCTTCGTGCTTCCTTCGGGTGGCATGGCAGCTAGGCACCGGAAGGGTGTTACAGCTGGACGGTTTCGACGATCCATGACCTGAGTAGGCAAAAGCAACTTATCCGGGACTTACCATCACCCTGATTCAACCATACTCAGAGTCTGCACATATTTCTGGCCGACAACCAGTAATGTTGTACGTCCCGAAAGGTTATCCGAAATCTAGTTGACCCCATCGCCGAAGAACTGCGATCTGATTGGTCGGATGTAGAACACCAGATGATTTCGTTAGGTCAAGTGGAATTCATGTAGAGGAGGAAAATGAAATCCGAAGTCCGTGTGCACACATTTGAGGCGACGTTCATGAGAGCGTGTGGCAATGACATCTGAGTACACACGAGGCTCTGAAGCAGGGATTTCTAAACTGGGTGATTTCGACAGGCTTAAAGATTCCCGGTCGTTCGTAGTCGATTTGCTTCATTTCTCCCCAATGTATGTGAAATTGTGCTGAGCACTTTTATAGCTGAACAGCAAGTCAAGACTTTTGAACAAAGTCGTTGAAACTCACTGGGAACAACGGGTACATCCATTGAAGAATGTGTCTAGCACCAGAAGCTGCGTTGGTTGCGACATGTGTTGCGTATGCTGAACCATCGTTTGCCGGAGCGAGTTTTTCCATGCCCAACTCAGATTGGCGTAAGAAGAGAGGTGGCCAACCCTTGACTTAGCTGAGGAGTTTAAAGGAGATCACGAAACGCTTGGGTGCTGTTGGTGCTACTCGCCTTCCAGGATGGGGACCGCGTGATCCTCACTGTGCCTGGTTGGAGACACTACAAGATATGGCTGCCAACCGATGTCAGTGGCGTTCTTGTTGTCAGGTAGGCACCTCGGAATGATTGTGGTAAGCTAGCACTAAGTCCCTCCCCCATGCACCTTTGCTCTTTTCTTTTCAATAAGGCTTTTAAATAAACCACGGTTGTACGGTGTTGGTGTTGAACACTGATGTCATGCTGTCAATGATGATGAACACAACGTCAACCACGGACTCTTCAACTAATGGTGGTCACTCGATATCCAGGTTGTTTAACGAAAAATTCACTGTCTTGTTTACAATGCCAGCACTATTGTTTGTTATTATTATTACTGTTATTATTAATTATTATGTTTACCACCGTATCCCACTTCAGTCTGGAAAATCTGATTCTTGAACTCCAGCTGCGTGGACCTTGTTGGCTGGTGGTAAAAAATGCAGGTACGTGGTCCTCTTTCCTTTTTCACTGTCCTTAGAGTCATCCGTTCCTTCTTATTATTTGGCGGATGTCCGTATGATTTAAGATAGATCCTGGGTCAGGATGTAGGACGGCTCGCGATACAAACCAACCACATCTATCGTTTAGGTTAGATGACGGATGTTCATCTGAAGTATGCCCGTGAGAACCAAATTCTTACCCTCCGTGATCGATGTTCGTTGGAACCCGACCATTGGGCGAGATGGTCCAGGTGGTTAGAGCGCGAATTTACTGACCGGAAGGTCCGTGGTCCGAACCCGACCTCTGCCTCTCGACTTCCCTTGTCTAGGCTTGGGCAACCTGGCAGTATCCCAGTCCTCGTACTTCCTTCGGGTGGTATGGCAGTTAGGCAACGAAGGGGTGCTACAGCTGGACGATTAGTCTTCGGTGAAGCGTATTCACCACAACACACTTCATCTTCCTCTATCGTGGGGTAATTTATACCTGTTAGCCCTCATCATTAAATTTTTTGTCCAACAATTTGGCAATCTTTTTCTAAGCTCCGTCTCTTCCATCTTCGTTTGTCCTAAACAGCACTGGTCCAACCACAGATCAGTTGGTGTCAGACGGACTTTGAAGTCAGCTGGCAGTCCGGAGTCAACTGTCCNTGAATGTCTGGAGGTGTAGGCACCTCGGAATGATTGTGTTAAGCTAGCACTAAGTCCTTCCCCCGTCCACCTTTATTCTTTTCTTTACAATAAGGCTTTCAAATGAATCATGGTTGTACGGTGTCGGTGTTGAACACTGATGTCATGCTGTCGATGATGATGAACACAACGTCAACCACGGACTCTTCAACTAATGGTGGTCACTCAATATCCAGGTTGTTTAACGAAAACTTCACTGTCTTGTTTACAATGCCAGCATTACTGTTTGTAATTATTATTACTATTATTATTTATTATTATTTTTACCACCGTATCCCACTTCAGTCTGGAAAATCTGATTCTTGAACTCCAGCTGCGTGGACCTTGTTGGCTGGTGGTAAAAAATGCAGGTACGTGGTCCTCTTTCCTTTTTCACTGTCCTTAGAGTCATCCGTTCCTTCTTATTATTTGGCGGATGTCCGTATGATTTAAGATAGATCCTGGGTCAGGATGTAGGACGGCTCGCGATCCAAACCCACCACATCTATCGTTTAGGTTAGATGACGGATGTTCATCTGAAGTATGCCCGTGAGAACCAAATTCTTACCCTCCGTGATCGATGTTCGTTGGAACCCGACCATTGGGCGAGATGGTCCAAGTGGTTAGAGCGCGAATTTACTGACCGGAAGGTCCGTGGTCCGAACCCGACCTCTGCCTCTCGACTTCCCTTGTCTAGGCTTGGGCAACCTGGCAGTATCCCAGTCCTCGTACTTACTTCGGGTGGTATGGCAGTTAGGCACCGCAAGGGTGCTACAGCTGGACGATTAGTCTTCGGTGAAGCGTATTCACCACAACACACTTCATCTTCCTCTATCGTGGGGTAATTTATACCTGTTAGCCCTCATCATTAAGTTTTTTGTCCAACAATTTGGCAATCTTTTTTTAAGCTCCGTCTCTCCCATCTTCATTTGTCCTAAACAGCACTGGTCCAACCACAGATCAGTTGGTGTCAGACGGACTTTGAAGTCAGCTGGCAGTCCGGAGTCAACTGTCCAGTTGTGAAACTCAGCGCTCTTCTGGAGCGCCAACAGGCCGAGGGGCACAGTTCTGCCGCCACGGTTCCACCTGCTCCACCACTCTGTTTGGTTGCTGTCAATGTGAAATCCGTCACTCAACCACAGGCGAACCACTCAGAAGTTTGTATTATTGTTGTTTTGTTCGAGTTTGTTCTGCTTCGCAATGGATGGTCCTATCATGGCTGTTTATTCTGTCTCTCTTTCTGTTTTCCAGATAGTATCCATCGGTCTTCTAATAAATCGTGCCTATTCATTAGATCGTCCCGTCGGGAAGAGCCTATTTCAATCACACTACCTTGGTAAGGAAAATTTTATGTTGCACGCCAAATTTCGTTCGGTGGGCTTTTTTCCTCAATAAAACTGGCTTTCCCCTTTTGTGCCTTTGCTTAGTAATGGCTCCCCCGAAAGACGCTGCTCTGCCGTACGATCTTCGAACAAAGTTACCAACCTGGGGCAAACAGTATGCTCCACCCCCGAACTCTTGGATGTCGAATCAAGAAGAGGCACCACAAACCTCTGGGTCCTCGGTTATTGGAGTCGGTGGTGTGGACATTGAACCAAACGAGCGTGCCCTTCTCGGTCGTCTCCTCACTCGAATTCACAAACTCGATCCCGATATCTTAGTTGGCCACGATCTTTGGGGTCATCAAATTGAACTGCTAGTGCAGCGTTTGAACGCGAACAAAGTACCCCACTGGCATCGAATCGGACGTTTACGTCGTTCAGCCCAGTATTCGGTTAGCGTCAACAATCGAGTAAGCATTCTTTGTGGTTTTTTGAAGGTTACCACTTTTTGTTGTTCAGTCTCTCCTGCAAACCGCATTGTATTACTCCGTTGAGCTCCAGGTAGCTCAGTGGCTAAAGCATGGACCTACTGATTGGAAGGTTTTTGGTTCAAACCCAATCTCGACTGTCTAGGCCTGAACAATCTGGTAGCATCTCAGTCCTTTCCCTTCCTTCGAGTGGCGTGACGTTCAATAAGCCCATCTTGCATGTTTTTTTTTCGGGATAGTCTCATTTGAATGCAGCTCTTACAACCATGGATTTACTTCAGAACACACAGCATTTTGTTTGAGTACTATATTCCCTAATCAGGTTTCAGGCGCCGATGCCTTTCGGTTGACTTTTCGTACATGTGTTGATGATCGATTCGGCCTCTGTTTTCACCACACCGCCCAATAGTCTTGGCTGATCCGCAATTCAATGCCTGGACGTTTGGTTTGCGATACTCGCGTGTCTGCCCGTGAACTGGTTCGTTCAAGGACCTACAACTTGAGCGACTTGGCCAATCAGGTGCTTGCCGATGTGGGAACATCTGGATGCCGCCGTCAAGTCCCTCCCTACTTGTTGAAAGTGCTCAATGGTGTTTCGAGTGCGGATGACGCCTTGGGAAGTATAGGTGTGGAATTGGCTGATTTGGAGATTGATTCTGCTGATCTGCGCTGCCTGTTTGCCACGTCCGACTTGGTCAAGCAACTTATTGATTTTTGCCTTTCGGATGCTCATCTGGCTCTGCGGTTAGCTCATCAGTTGCAGGCAAGTCCTACCTACTTCTGTAGCACCCATTGGTTTTAAACCCCTATGTGTTTTTATTGACCTAGTTTCATTGTTGTGTTTGGCTATTATGGCCTCGGTGTTGTATTCAGTGGCAATAACATTGATGCGGACGTCTCGAGCCAGGGCACAACTCTGTCTTCCCTTAATTTTAAATTTGTGATGAATAGTTTTTGCACTTTTATTTCACTTGCTACAAAACCGTGAAATCAATTATTTGGTTGTAGGTCTTGCCCCTAGCCATGCAAATCACCTGTATCTGCGGAAATGTCCTGAGCCGTACTCTCTCCGGAGGTCGGGCAGAACGAAACGAGGCCTTGCTTCTTCATGCGTTCACACAACACGGATACATTGTCCCAGACCCGCCGACGACTACACGGCGTGGTCGAGGTACACATGCAGCGGGCCAAGATGACTGGGACGTGGTGGAACATGCTGACGAAACTCAACCTGCCGCTTTGACTGGAAAACGAAAGCCCGCGTACACTGGCGGTCTGGTTCTTGAGCCGAAGAAAGGTAGGTCTGTTCATTTTTATCGGTTGCAAGCGTGCTCACCTCTCTCTCTTTTTCTCCCTCTCTCGGTAATCTCACTTTGGTCAATACATCTGGTCATGTTTTGAGAGGGGTTAGGGTGTGTCCAGATCACAATGGTTACTTCAGGATCGTTTTAGTGACATTGGGGAGGAGGGTTAAGGTCTGTGTACAACCAAGGACCACTGAGGATATCCCCCAGTGAGAATGTCTGGTAAATCGCCGATTCCGAACTCACCCACTGGCTTATGTTGAGTCCAGTTGCAGTTCGTCATTCAGTTTTAGAGAATAGGTGATAAGCCGTGTGATGAATTGCTACCATGTTCTTACTGACCATCGACCGCTCTTGTTCATTTAAGAATTTTACGTGAGGCAGTTCGATTGCGACGAAAAGATAGCGATTGTTCGTGCAGGGGCTCAAGTGCCGCGCTGAGTTCCAACGAAAGAATGTTGAATTCGATGACACATGTTGTAAGCACGACGACCTAATGTAAGAGGCATAATTTCAGAATCGCTTGTAAAACCCTCCAGGTTTTAGTTTAAAAAGACGCTAATTGTATCTCTTTTTTTCGTGGTTACTATTCGAGTTAGGTCAAGTAGCTCGCAAATGAGTTATCTGTAATGTTCTAGCTGGTCGAAGAGTCATCATCGTGGGGAGGGAGAATGAGAGGTCCTTTATTCAGTTGAGTAACATAGCTTAGAACTTGAACTTTGAAAATTAATTTAACTGTCATCACTGTTGTTCCTCACAGGTTTCTATGACAAGTACATTTTGTTACTGGACTTCAACTCGCTATATCCATCGATTATCCAAGAATTCAATATTTGCTTCACAACGGTAGACCGAGAGCTTGTCACGGGATCCGACTCGAATGTCGCAGAGTCGACGGATGTCGAAGCACCTCATTCGGAGGTAAGAGTTTCGGTATAGTGTGCCCTTTCTACACGTAAGGTTTCGGATAAATCGGGATCAACCCGACAGGCCACGCTGCCATAGTTTACTGTTGGAGACCCTTACTGGCCAAAGTACTTTTGAGATCCATACACTTGCTGAACGTTTTGCACTTATATGTCTGTTTGTTTGGATCTGCGACCTACCTCGTTGATGATTTCATTTAGCTTAGGGTACCTAACGTTCACCGTCTTGCTAGACGGACCTCAGTCATTCACTTCTACACTGATTCGTAAGGAAACGGGTTTTTTTATCATGGGAGACATCTTTCGTACTATTTTTATGGGAAGGATTTGGTATTCCTCTGTAGAAAGGACCAACTACCCAACAAAGTAGCCCAATTGTTTGTGATGTGTAACCCCCTCCACCCCATGATGGCCATGAAGCAGAGTTTCAAGTAGGTATCGCTCACGAACGGCACAGACGATTTTGCTCCGACTGTGGTCCAAAACCAAAGACATCGTTTTAGTTTTGTATGTCATTTCGCCGCTCCTGGACAAATTTCAAAGTACTCTTAGTCCTCCGCATAAGGAAGTGGTATGCAAAGCAGGGATTTTTTCAACGTCGGTTTACGTTCGAATAGTCCACCAACGCCGCACCTGAATGGTCCAAAAAAATTTCGCAAAAGGCGGGCCAGCATGCCAGAGCCGTGCGCGGCCCGCTCATGCGGATAAGCATTGCTGTGATGACTGATTGACCGCATCCTCTGAAATCATGCAAAGTTGCGAGAACTCACTTCCCCACTCTTTTGAGCACACGCACGTTGCGGTATGGTGTGGGCAGTGCACTTTCCCGCAACTGAGCGAAGCCTACACTCAGCTCATACACTCAACCAGGCGACATCGTGACAAGTATCCTGTCTCTGGATGTGTTCGTTGAAGGATCCTAGCTATGAACTCTCTCCGCACCCCCAAACCCCTTTCATGAATAGATTCCAAATATCTCACTCAGAACACTTATTCGGGCATTCAGCATATTGAAAGTTGAACCAACCCTTCCTGTGATCTGGGCTAACTACGTTTTGGTAAAGCTGATTCCGAGAGTGTTGCCTCTTTCTGTCCACAGGCCGCCGATTTGGACATTATGGTTGCTTCCCTTCTGGCCACAGTCCAAGGAACTGCAGGAGGTTCGACAACTGTTACTGACCCAAGATCGCACCAACCGCGCCTGCCAACTGCTCAGACTCCCGGTCTTTTGCCCGCCGAGATTCGTCGTCTAGTCGACTCACGTCGTGAAGTGAAGAAATTGATAACGGCGGCTTCTAACAGCGCCAATCCTGATCAGGCTCAACTAGCCCAATGGAATACTCGACAAGCTGCACTCAAGCTGACCGCCAACAGTGTGTACGGTTGTCTTGGTTTTGCCGCCTCACGTTTTTGTGCTCGCGGTTTAGCTGCTTTGGTCACCGGACTAGGTCGAGCTGTCCTGATGAACACGCGAGATCTGGTTGAAAACATGAACTTTGAGGTCAGTTTTCAGCTGTGGCATTTTTTGTCATGCGGTTGCTGTCCCACCCACAAAAGCTGGTAGCCTCATCCCCAGAGGTAAATCTGTGAGGAGTAATCCCTTCAGAGCAATGAGCCAAGTGGCCTCTTCCATTGTGAGAGCTGGGAAGTTCCACACATTCTATGACCCTGATATGCTTCGAGCGAAAAATGTAACAGTCAGCGTCTTTCGATCGATTGGTGCTTTACGGTAGTACTTCAGAAACAGTTATCATCACGTACTACATGAATCTAATGTGCTTTTATGTCCCGTGAATAGATACGCCCGTTAGCACACGGAATGATATAGTTGAAATCGACCGGATATCTCCTCATTCCCCTGTCACATGTTAGTCTGGGTCACTGGGTTGTTCACTAAGCCAGTCAATTCAGTTTAAAACGTCTCATCACCAGTTGCATCATCAACGAAGGTTTGCGCTACGTCGGTGAGATCACGCTGAGTAGTGGGGTGCATGCGTTCCTATATGTATTGCTAGCCAGACCTGACCAAAGTCAAATAGACTATCTCAAATACCGCGTTGACTTCAGCCAATCAGAACCTACCATTGTATGGCTAAATAACCAATCATAATCGAAAAATGGAAGCAAGAGGGCAGTTGGTTGCCTATGTGAGTGTCCCCGGTACGATTACTTCTTACCCGTCACGAAATGTACTGACTGTCATACTGTCATAAATGATTTTTTTTAATCCGACGACCCAATTTGATAGACACGTATCTCCTCACTGGTTGTGGATAGCCTCAAGACAGCTGAAATCCCATCCAGTTATTTGGTAAATCGTTTTTCCTGCGATATCATTTGTTCTCGTCATCCTCAATCATTGAGTTATTCCTTCAAATTGAAGGAGTTCCAAAACGCAGGCTTGTTGTAGCTTAACCCCATGAGTTGTACGGACCTGGGGATGTCTGAAACATGCACTAAAGTGCAGCTGTCAAGTTTCTGCTCCAATGGTGTTATTTTGTTCATTGTTTGTAGGCAGGAGGGGCATAGAACGATTATTATTATTTACTATTCCACATGTACCTACCTGAGGTCTACTTTTGTGTGATCAGAAGGGGTTGGGAAGGGACATGGGTGGACACTGAACTGCGCGGGCAAATGATGCCTCCTGGTTGCCCAGTCCGAGGAAGGGTTTTGGTTAACGTATCCTTGACTCAAAAGTCTGGTCCACAAGGCAGTGAGAGGACGTAGGGTTTTGTTCGGGGACCCTGACCCTAGCCTCTGACTCAAAAGTCCGACCCACGAGACAGTGGGAGAATGTAGGGTTTTCTTTGGGGACCCTTCCCGGAGCCGATGACTCAACGGTCTGACCTTCTCGGCTGCAGGGGGTGGCCTAACCCGAGGGCATTACTGTCTCATTCCTGATGATCTGCTACGTATTACCAATTCGTCAATTCCTACTCTGGTTGATTTCTATGCTGCTCTTTCTAGGTAATCTACGGTGACACGGACTCAATCATGGTCAACACAAACTCAACTGACTTGCTCACTGCGCTGTCGATTGGTGAAAAAGTACGTCACGAGGTGAATAAACACTACCGGCTGCTCGAACTGGACACAGACGGAGTGTACGCGGCGATGTTGTTGCTGGCCAAAAAGAAGTACGCTGCACTTGCCATTCAAAACCCCATTCAATGGGCAGCAGCTTTCAAAGCTGCGCAGGCCAAACACCAGCCCGCTCTCCCTCCACCCAAGACGAAGCAGGAGATGAAAGGACTGGATATTGTGCGACGTGATTGGTCCGCAATAGCGGTCAGTGTCGGTCGCCGGTGTGTGGCCGCATTGCTGAGCGGTGAGCCGAAAGACGTGATACTCGAACGAATCCACACGGACTTGATTGAAACAGCGGAGAAAGTGCGCGAGGGAAAGATGCCGTTGTCAGACTTTATCATCACCAAAGTGAGTGACTAACTGTCAGCTGATATGTCCCCTCTGTTGGTATTTTCTTCCATAGACAACGAGCATGTCCTCTGCTTTAGTACACATCTACTGTGGTTGTTACCCTTCAGGATGCCATCTGTGTGAACATGTGTTCAGCTCACCAGAGACGCTAACAACTGATATCAATAACGCTCTAATGTCTTTATCTTTTAGACGTCCATTTCTGTATCTGAGGGTGTGAATACTTGCAAATGGTCGTGATAGACTGACACTGGCCTCTTTCTGTAAGTGTTTCATCTGAAGATCTGAGAAAACAGCGAATGGCAATTCATTGGTGTTGTGTATACTGATGGTGAGATGAAGCCTCATGTCAAGCTCCCATTTCAAATGCTCTTCAGGTCTCTTCACACACACGTGGAACAAGGTTTCGATGTGGTCCTCGTAAACAAAGAGAAAGCAAATGTGCCGCATAAAAAATGCGAAGTACCGCAATGGACTTAGCTTTGTGCTCACTCAAAATTAAAAAAAGATTGAGGCCATTTGGGGGTCTCTTTCCTATAAATTCAACTTGAGGAGCAGGTTGTACCTTCACTACCAAGGCGTGAGAATTCACTGCTTGCGCAACGTCCCGCCGTTCCTCGAGGTATTTTCCACCAAACCACTTCATACCCTTGAGTAACTCACAATGACCTCATGATGAACCGAAGACAGATCTGAGTGTGTGGGTGACGGAATGCTACTGATGAGCGTATTTCAAAACGAGGTGAAATTGCGAGCGTCCGCATCGAAACTTATGAGTTTGTTGGATAATGTACAGTAAACGCCCCACTCTGTTCGTGGTAGATCACCAACAGTATTGTCACTACGTGGACGATATCTTCGTACTTTCCGACGAAAACATCGGTACGATAGACTATGGAGCGCTTTTCATTCAGTTCTTATCGCTATCAAATTTACTTTCGGACCAGAACAAAACAGACAGTTCCCTTGATCTCAGTATTCAAAAGAAGACCTTGCAGCGCGAAATAAAAAACTTGGATAGGCCAGTATATTCACTTTAATGGCTTCCCTTTGTTGCAAAAGAAGCAATGGAATGCAGATATGCTCCTCCGATTGTTTACTAGAAGAACTAGACTTCTCTCGAGAAATACACTCATTTGCAAATCAATTTAGTTTTCACGAGAGACTCAGCTGAATCTCTCGTGAAAACTAAATTGATTTGCAAATGAGTGTATTTCTCGAGAGAAGTCNAGATCATAAGGTTGACGGAAACTCGGGGGCTGCGCCTACCTGATGAGCCGCAAGAAGGGCGAAACCGGTCGTGGGCTGTCGAAGAGTTTTCAGCAACCTTGTGAGTAGTTCCCTTTATGAAAAAACAACTAGACTCCTTTGGACTCACATTCTCGCTAAGCGGATAACCTGAACGTTTCGTACTCAACATTGTCCAATCTGCAAAACACCATACTCAACAATGTCCAGTTGGGAAATAGTGCATCTACATAAGACCCCCATTCAAAGAGAACTAAGTACCAGAAGGCTTACACTTAGGCTCTTGATACGACAAACGGCCGCTATTATATGCTTGAGTTGTTTCAATTCCAGCTCCACTATCAGATTCCTTTTGAGAGACGAATTGCCAAGTTCTACCACCAGCTTCCGGATGTACTCATTTGTATACCCATGCCAAGTGTTAATCGTACGACAAGTCGCTTGTCGGGCAGACTACGATGACAGTCCCATCTCCTCGAGATGCGGTTGTGAATAAACCGGGCTCATATGCATTTGCGTCAAATCTAGTCGAAATCAGTCTTGTTACCAATAATGAGCATGCCTTCCATACCATATACCAGGTCCCTCTGAACTGATCACTTCTAGCACGATCGTTCGCCGAGGCGATTGGAATCCGACCACATGATCCACAATTATGCGTCCAAAGGAAACTTGTGCAACCTCTGAGTTTGAGCCGGTCCCACAAACTCGTCTGGCATTAACGTTTGACTTTGTGACCCATTGACCTGTGTACTGTTTATCCCTCACCTTTCTTTTTTTTCTTTCTTTAAAGAGTATGTACCTACGGTTCTCAGATAACCTTTGCACAGCATCTCCGGCTTGATGCACTATCCAAGACGAGTTATCTATAATTTCCACGGATACCTTTAGTTACATAAAGCTTTTAGATTCACTTTCGTTTATGAAGAGAAGCCGTTTATTTGATCATTGTTCAGGTGTTCAGGTGTAGCACCCTTTCGGTGCCTAACTGCCATGCCACCAGAAGGAAGCACGAGGGCTGGGATACTGCCACGTTGCCCAAGCCTAGACAGGGAAAGTCGAGAGGTAGAGGTCAGGTTCGAGCCACGCACCTTCCGGTCAGTAAATTCACGCTCTAGCCACTTGAACCATCTCGCCCCATTGATCATTGTGTCGTTACCGGTTGCTAGACAAGAATGTGAAATCCGCCCCATGGGGTTTCCTAACAAAATCATTGATGCGACCGACCAGATAATCCAAGACCGAAGACAGAAAGCTGTGGAGAAGTTTCGCTTTAACTCCAGTCCTGTACAAGAATGCGTGGATGTTTAACTATGACGCTCAAGGCCTTTTGCCCCTGTGTCAACCGGATCTCAACTTCGTGAATTTGCACCTCAGATTCTCTGTTCTATCGCTTACCAAAGTATTTTTACCGTCTCTAGTTGAGACCCCCCTGCAAATAAAGCCAACCTATGCCACGTAGCCGAGTTAGTTGGTAATGACCCATGCTAGGGTTACTGGTTGACCTTCAGCTTAATACCAAAAGCGGCTAAGGGACCAGGCATATCTACTGCAGTTCTCTAGTATTTTCTGGCTAATTTATGTGTACAGCCGAAGTCCGGTAGGTTGGTGGCACCATGCCTCCCCCAATGAGCACGTGAGTGTGTGTTTTCATCTCCAGTATTGGCAATGTTTCAGCTTTCTACCGATCGGTGATACTCTTCAGCTGCAAAACCTGCGTACTTGCCTCACAGTGGTTATGGCTGCCACTGTTTCTCTCGCTGATGATTTGGGGAGGTGGGGTAGATAGAACCCCATTGGGGGTGGTAGCTGATACAATTGATGCGTCAACGGACTTTCCAATTGAGGAAATCGAGAAGACAGCTATACATTGAAAGAAACAGCTTGAGTGCATGAGCGCCATGCGACTGGGTCGTGTCTGACAATGTTTCCAACCGTTGCTTTGTCCCGTTTCTGAGTCCCCATCCAGGGAGACAATAATGACAGCGCAGCTGGCTGGTAATGGCTTTCATACTTCGCTGCCAATTCATTGTTTGACCTCCCTGTGGTTTGTTTCCACCCTTCGTGTGGTTTTTCGAAAAGGATTGTTCAAGGAGGGTCGGTCGACTGGTATGCGGAGCAAGCCAACGCAACCTACCGATCCATGAAAATTCGTCTTCGTTTCTCTCTGGTGATTGATGGCTGTCATTTGTTATATTACCTTTTACCGCGTCTATTGTCAGATGTTGACCAAAGCTCCTGAGGATTACGCGGATGCGAAAAGCCAACCTCATGTCCAAGTGGCTTTGCGTTTGAACAACTCCGTTGGTTCGAATGACGGTGGAGCAAGGCGTCGTCTGAGAGCTGGTGATACAGTGGAGTATATCATTTGTAATGATGGCTCTGGTTCCGTGGCAACGCAGCGTGGTTACAGCCCTGGTGAACTGACCAATCGTGGTGTGAGCAAGTCCGCTGATGGTAAGTTTCACCGATAGATGTGTGCTATATTCTTGTTCGATTTTATCAGTTGATTAGAACGAACTCCGGCAATAGTTATCTCTTGGGAGAAAGTCTCGTTGAACGATACAATTTGATTTGTCACTTCTGTCTTCTCCCTCGTTCCCAACCAGATCAACAACCGAGCCTCACAGTTGACGTAAATTACTATCTGGCACATCAAATTCACCCGGTTGTCAGTCGTCTAGTCGCACCGATCGAGGGAACCTCTCCTGCGCGCATTGCCGATTGCCTCGGTCTAGATCCAAGTGGATACAGGAGGCAAGCAGTTGATGTTGCTGGTGGCGATGAGGACGAGGTACGTGCCTCACGGGGTTTGCTGTTAGGTGTCAGCCTACACTTTGATCATCTCATCGTAATTTGCCCCCCTTCCGATTTTTTTTTGCGTTTTTCTGGCATTTGAATTAATTGCCCAACTTGAGGGCATCTCTTCATACTAGCGTCGTATCCTGGTTCGCAACCGGCAACTGCGCTTCCCACAGTGTGCGTGATAGTCTTATTGTTGAATCCGTGAAGGTGAAAATACTGGTAGGTTTCCCGGACATTGGAGGTTAGTCGATTTTCTATCCAAGTGCCTCGGTTCGAACCAGTTTTCCTCAACGTTTTCATTGCTCACTAAACGGGTTTACAGGGGCAAGAGGGACCTACAATGAGGAACCTCCTTATGAGTGGATGGATATCGAAATGCGTAAAATAACGAACCTACCAGTGGGACTTGAATGGTACCATAATACGTAGAGGATAACTGACGCGGAAATTAAAACGTATCATGAAGGTTCGAAGTCAGAGTCTCACGAATTTGAAGCGTACAAGAATTAGCAGGAGAATTGTGGAAGGCGATGAGCCTTGAGGATGAATGAGGAGGGAAATGAGTATGTTTGGTAACTATGGTTGGAACTTGACTTGAGGAAGCGGATCTTGCGACTGAGTGATTGTTAGAGCGGGCCGTACGAGACGAGTTCAGTGGATCGTTTGCTGTGGTAGCAGCGCTCAACTTGCGAAAGAGGGGTTACAGCCCGGCAATGAAGGGTTATGGGCAAGACACTTCATTAGTTAAAACTCGAGTTTACTGACCGGAATGTCCGTGGTTCGAACTCGACTTCTCCTGTCTAGGCTTGGCCAACCTGGCTTGTACTTCTTTCGGGTGGAATGGCAGCTAGGCACCGAAGGGGTGTTACAGCTGAACGATTATCTCATTTTCTTTATTGGTGAGATTTATCTATCAGATCATTTGTTAAGACAGACAAATCAACTCTTAATTAAATGCTAATTACGAGAGAGAGGTTTGTCGAAGGAGCACCACTCCAAATTTGACAACAGTACTTCCGCGTGAGATAGATCCGGGGGGATGGTGCTTAATGTAGAATGTAGACAGATATCTACCAGAACGTAAGAGGTAACCCAATTTCCTGCAAGCTGAGGTTGCAATTACTTCCACGCGTGAGGATCAACTGAGATTGCCCGAAAAGGACAGACCGAGGAGGAACAGTTGAATGGTTGATGATCCAGGTTAGAGTGAACAAATAATAGAAGTCTGTTTAAGAGAGAGGAACGTGTGTAGATTTGGTGGAACTGATTGTAACTGCGAAGCTATCTACCCTACCGCTGATTGGATCAGCGATGACCCTCTGGAACGAGCCGTGCATGGGCGACTATCAGCTGATATCCAATCAATCGCAAACACTTCTGTTCCATGGCCTGACACATTGACAACCTAGTTGTGGCCTCTGAACAATGGGTGGCGCGCCCGAGTGAGGCGAAGTATCTCTCGTTTCAGAATTCCCTTAAAAAATTGTTCGCCCGAGCTCGTTTTCTGCTTAAACATGTGCTCCCATTCATATCTTTTTCCCATCATATGTAAGAGACCGTCATCCTCTTCCCAGCGCCGCACTGCCTTTAGTTGCTGGATGACCAATGTAGATCATCATCATCATCATTGTCAGCTGTAATAACTGCGTACTTGCCGTACAGTGGTTGTAGCTGCCTCAGTTTCGTTCCCCGATGATTCGAGAGGTGGGGTAGGTAGCTGTTATTACAGCTGACAGTGATGATGGTAGGTAGCTGTGCATTGAAGGTGAGAGCTCTTTACATGCGTGGTTTCACTAAGTCTCACTTCAAGATGATGGACTTCACTGAGAGCTTTATGTTTTCAAACGTTCGCCCAACTTTATCACTTGGTGCCTCACTTGTGTTATCCCCCCTCTTTGTTAGAACATTGATTGCACCGTTGGATCCAATGCGGGAGTGACCGCATGGGGTGATGTGGAACCATTGTATCTACCTTGTCCGCAAACGTGTGGCGGACCACAATTGGAGATCAAGCCATCCGGTCTGACTGCTCTCTCCAAAGCTTGGGTGGTGAGTTACATTGCACTGATGCTTTAATTAATAACGCCACGGATGTTGAGATAAACAACCGTGAACAACTGGTATTTGCCTACCACACCTGTCTGCTATAAAGAAGTACGCGCTTCTCCTTAATTGGTAGTATTGACCTACCTTATTCCATGGTCAGTTAGCGCGACGCAGCGATTTCAAAACAGACTAACGGTTATAATCGTATTAGAAACGTCCATTTGAGAGTGCTGCAAAGAGTTGACTTTCTGTGAATCGACGAGAAAGCGGGTCATGTCAGGGTAAGATGATATCAACGAGGTGAGTTTCTCACCGTCAACTCTGTGAAACTCCGAATGGCATTCAATCATGAGCTAGCTTACCCTGGTAAGCAGTGATGAAACACCATCGTGCGTCGGCTTTCCAGCTATGTTTTATCAATCAGGCAATAATCCCGTGTTTTCTGCTATTCGCTAGACCTGTAACTAACCTCGGGGAATATAGGCTGACCGGTCAATGAGGGAATCAAACGTGGTAACTAGGTTCCGTTCTGACCTGAAGATTCGGGATTGGCCAAGTCCCGGATCTTGGTGTTTCCGGAGGAAATTTCTGCATTTCATGTTAGGAACAGTTAATCTGAAGCTGTGGAAGAATCTGGATATATATAT